TTATTTTACTGTATTGGCATTAGAAACAATATCCTTTAGGGTTTGCTCACTTTTAAGCCCATTATTTAGCATATCTTTAAGAAATTATTTTATCTAGAGATTACTAAATGTTAGATCTAAAAATGTGTACATGTTGATTTTAATTGAATGCAAATTTTTAGTTTAGTCTTTTTCATTAGGGTTGAAATGTCTCTCCTGCCCCCAAAAGCTTTGTGAGTGTGATGAAATATTTCTAGGATATAAATAATAATGTAGAAGGAAGTTCTAATGGTTTTCCTATTTTTCGTTCATTTTTATTAATGGTTCTGTACAGCTTTGAAGATCTATTGCACTCTGTAAGTGCTAAGTATTATTTAATAGTAACTGTTTAAAATTACTGAAATAGAAGGGGTTATGGTCTTGGGGACTGATTATGGAAATAACTGAATTTAAGTCCAGTCGTTTACTGCCTTATCCCAAAAGCTGTTATCTTTCTAGGTATATGACTTTAGCATTGTTTATGCTTTAAAATACAGTTCAGGGTTTTGAAGGATTAATGGAAAGTAAAAGCAGTGACTGCTTATTTTTCTTACTAAAGATTTTAGTTGAAATAATAAATGAGAATTAGTTTTCGACCTGAAAGTGTAAGAAAGGCACTAAAGCTGCCTTACAGGGAGGGAGATTTTATTAGTTCATCTGTAAATTTGTTTATGCAATTTGTTGAAACCTATTCAGCACGTTGTAGTACTTGTGTAATATCTACTGTGCATAGCTAATCTGGCTGAAATTACTCCAACAGCTTACATTTTGTCCAAATTTAAAACATGGTGTGAAATCATCTCTTCCTGAAGAGCAGTTTCCCAGTCTTTGGGTCCTACCTGAACAATACCTTGTGTGCCTATGGAGTACTTCAATGGTATTGTGAGTTACCATCTGGAGTCTCTGTCAGGCAGTATTGTTATTTTATTGAAAGAAGAAAAGACCTCCTTTACCACAGAACTGTCATCCTTCTCTTTTTGTCACTGTGTACAGCTGTCCCTCAGCCCAGAGCCTTCTTCCATAATATATTACAGATACTAATTGCATGCCTGTATTCTGAAGGGTGCTTGGTTTCAAGAGCTGTTTCTTGTTCCTCCACGTCACAGATGTGTAGTGAGTCGGTATATTTGTGTCTGAAGACCATATTTTTCATCGCTTCAAATGCCCACTTTGTGTTCTGTGTCACCAAACTGAGTAAAGGCCAGTCCCTGTAGCAATCAATTACTGTGGAACTACACAGTAACACAGGTAGCTGAGATTATTTAAAAGAGGAACTAGGGACTTCAGACTGCATGTGAAGTGAAAACTACTAACCACAGTAGGCTTTCTGTTACTTTGGTGTTTTTAATATTCTGGTGTGTTCTGCAGGCATTCTCTCAAAGGGGGAGACAGGTGGATGAAGTTCCTCGCACTGAATACTACTTTTTCCATAGTGAAGTAATTGCTCTTGGCCTTTTAACCAGAAAAAAACCCCCTTATTTTAACCATCTCTTCTGAAAATAGAAAAGGCTTGACATAATCAGAACACTGGGGTGGAGAGTACTAAAAATACTTTGGGTTTTTTTTGCTTAGTCATTTCAGAAGATTTTAAATTACTTTTTTTGATACCTAGAGATGTCAACTTTTAATTAATTTACGTGATTGGTGATGACTGCAGTTGAAGTTTGAGAAGACATTAGTTTTTAAAATATACATTGGTTAAACTTGCTGGCTTTGAGCTTCTGAAGCAGTGTATGAACAGGAAGCTCTGATTTAGGCAAACACAAGTAGACATCTCTGGCCAGCAGAGATGGCCAGTTGCTGCCATCAATGTTGTTGCTCATTGGCTTGAGAGGAAGAAAGAGGACAAGTTCTGTGTGGAGAGTGTGACCATATATTGTATTAAAGGACTGTGTAGGTATGCTCTAATGATGCAGCTTCACACTGCAGCTGATTAATTTGGCAGCTGCTTTCCTCTGGTAGAAGTGGTCACCATTCCCTTGCCATCAGGCTGGGCTTCCATGGACAGCTGGCAGCTGGAAGGTTGAGCTTCTGGTAAAAACAAAATGTCCTGCAATTCCCACTCTGTTTCAGCCATGGCTGTGAGCTGGATCTTGCTCTAATTTAGTAGAAGCCTCAGTGTCAATGCTGTGGCCACCAACACACACCCAAACCCTGCAAACTCCAAATCCAACAGCCAAAAAAAAAGCACAGCACAAATAATCTGCAAGTTTTGAACCTTATTCAGGTTGTGATGAGCCTGTAGCCTCTACTGTACAACTGCTCTGCTTGTAAACAAACCCAGAGGCTTTGTTTGCAAGCAGCTGATGGTTTTGTTGCCCTGGCAGGAATGTATGGAATCAAATTTTTTAGCAACAACAGGTAGTTTGATCAGTTGATGTTGACTGAGAAGCAGAAAAGTTAGATGGAGTCCAGAAAAATAAGATTTCAGTTTATTTACTCATATTGTACACAGCACTTCTCAGCATCTCTGCACAGTGCTAGGGCTGTAATGGTGGCCTTCACCTCTTTGAAACAAAACCAAAGTTCATCATGACTTTCTTCACCAGAGTTTTAGTGCATTTTTTATTAAACTTTATTAGGATAGCTTGACTTTCAAACTAATTGAAACACTACTGTTTGTCTTCTTTCCAAAAATACTTTATTTTGAATATTGCAATCACTTAGCTAAGAGAGAGAGTAATTAAAGTTATTCTCAAGTTGCACAATTTAGTTATTTAAAAATGCTTTATATAGTTTTTAGATGAAGTTATAAATGTTCACTTTGGAACTACCTGAAGATTAATAGTGATGCATTTGAAATGCATTATTTTTTTATTGATTCTTAATGTAGTAAATTACTGAAGTTATTTGGCAGCAAACAGAAATAGCCAGTGATGTTGTTCACATTTATTTTCCTGATAGCATCACAATTTGCATTAATTGCATTGCAGCTGCACTCACTTATATTAAAAAGCTTCTACCATAATTAATCCTTTTTATTTCAAATCATTTTGGCACAATTTCTAGCAATAAACACTCATAAAAGACAGACACTTGAAAAATAACATACAAGTTTCTTCAATATACCTATTGCTGTTTTTTTCCTGACAAGGAATTATTGATAGGCTTCTAGGATCAAGTGTTGCAAGTGGTGAAGACTTAAGACCAGTTTGAAAAATGCTAAGTGGATTATTTTGCATAAAAAATAGACAGGTTTTGAATTTGTGTAATTAACCTGTGTTTAGAAAATACCTTGATTTATGTCTACATTTGTATTTCAGTTGCATACATTATGGAAATTTAATTTATAATCCATTTAGCTGATGTGATCATAGTTTTTAGTGCTATCATTTATTAGTCCTTGTATATTGAATGCTCTAAAGGCTTAAACCTGCCTTGTGTAAAAAATTACACCTCTGCATTTACATTTTATGAGTCACAGATGGAATTCCATTTTAAATTCGGGTAGCTTTGATATATTTAAGGAATTACAATAGCTTTATTGTTACTAATGCAGGAACAGCAAACACTGACCTTACACATTGCAAATTAATGATTTATCCCTCTAGTTTGCTTTTAAAGTCAGCTATACAAATGAGGATTTTGACTTCTACACCTTGAATAAATCATATGGCTCTAAATATAATGCACCCTTTGGCTTTGAACTCGTTATTCTCAGGTTTTTTTGCAAGGTCTAACTCACCTCATAGAAAAATGTTCTTTCAAAAGTTTAAGGAATTGTGTATATTTTTCTTAAAGTCTTTGTTGGAATATCATTGAGTGATTAGAGCTGCATCTATTAATCTTTTTTCAGTTTGTTTTTTTTTTTTTTTTTCCCCTCAGTGGGATTCCTTTTCTAAGTTTGCAGCAGATTATGCAGGAATTAAGTAACACCAAAACTCTGCTCCTGGAGAGATAAAAGGGAACAAACAGTGATATTGCAATGATGTTGTGTTGGTGATGTCTGATCAGCCTGACAGTGATGTCAATGTTCTGTAAAGATTTGGTTGTCATTGGTAGAGATGCTGATGAGGCAAACAGGGTGGACAACGAGAAAGGCAGAGGCAGCATGTGCCAGGAATGGGTCTTTTTAAAGCAAGGTCCTTTATTCAGAATAGCTCTGAAGGATACACCTCACGTTCATCTGAAAGTTACCATAAGTACCTTTTTCTTCCAAGCAAGCAGTTGTTACTGACTTAATAAAAAATAATGCAAAGATACTTTGCATTACATGGAAATGTGCTCATACAGTAGATGAACCTAGAATGCTGCTGCTGGAGTTTGAAAATTTTTGGGAATAATTTGAGTTTACAGTCAAAAAATTTGGGTTAGGTACATGTTTAATCAATTTTTGACACCTGTAGCAGGGTCAGGCACAGAAAGGATTGGACCTGTGACACAGCCAGAACTGGTAAACTCTTGGCTTGGAAACAAGGATTGTTTTACTGTGGAATTCACCAAACGTGCAGCCATGAATCTGTAACGTGCACTGGATAGTTTTTATTAGTTTAAAATGCACTGGGTTTACAGAGTTATTTTAAGGGGATGAGGGGGATGACAGTTCTGCATGTAGTGATTGATGTGGATGGAATAATACTGCTTGTGATGGTGCTAATGGAAGTAGAGGTGTAAGCTTACTTTGTATAAGACATTCTTGATGCAGTTATATTGTCCTTTAGCAAACCTTGCTTTTCCTGAAAATAAATGCAATATGGATAAGGAGTAATGACAGATAAACAATGAATTTTGCATTTTAAAACACAGCATAATTCATCTGTGAGATTTGGGACCTTGGTATTTCACAAGAATATTCACATTTCAAATTTTTGATGAATATTCTTAAATTTATGCACTATTTGAGATATTTCCATGCCAGAAGAACCTACTCAGGCTTCAAATTAAGACAGAATTACTCAAAAGTTGAGAAATACAACAACCTTCTGAATTTCTGCATGTACTATAATAAAATCTAATGTGTTTTTAATTGCTTTATTTTTCAGGCTCTTTATGAAAATATGCTGGTGGAGCTGCCATTTGCTAGTTTTTTCCTCTCAAAATTATTAGGGACAAGTGCTGATGTTGACATTCATCACTTAGCTTCACTAGATCCAGAAATGTACAAAAATTTGCTTTTTCTAAAGAGCTATGAAGGGGATGTGGAAGAACTTGGATTAAACTTCACCGTGGTCAATAATGACCTTGGGGAAGCGCAGGTAAGAATGGCTTTGAGTTTTTTTTTCTTTAATCTATGACTGATGAATCTTTACTATCACTACTAATTTTTTTTTTTTTATTGAAATGTAGTGGGAAATAACTGTTAAAGGTGCTGTGAGGCATCAGTTGGGATTCTGACTCAATATTTGGAGTAGAGAGTAACTAACTGCGTACTTAAGAAACAACTTTTGATGATTACTTAAAGGTCTGGTCTTTTAAGGAGTAAATGGGAGTAATTATTTTCTAACAGTCATACATACAAAGTTCTATTGCCTAAGAATGTTTCTTGAACAAAAATATCTTGTATCTTTAGTTGCACTTGTAATAATAGCAAAATTTAGATGATGTGTAAACTACAGAAGTGCTGCCTAGTGTTAGAATTACAGTTAGCAGTCAGAGAGGTTTTAAATAATACTGATAGTAAAGACCCTTTGTTGTGAGATAAGCATTTTCTCCTTTATCTGTAATTTTCAAAGTAAGAGAGCCTGAAGTTTGACCAACCTCAAAAAATTTTTTTTACCCCCTGCCCTTTTTTTTAGGGGTTGAGATACCAGATTAGTCAGAGGGGATAAATGCTGTTCAGTGCTTCTGAAAAGTAATCCTTAAGTCTGAGTTTTTAATGCAGTTGCACCATATAATTTGATTACAGCTTTTATTTGCTCTGTTGTGTCTACTAAAGATCACTCATAGTAGAAAATAAATGTCACTAGAGCTCTAAAAGCCTGCCTTAGTGTGTTAATGCAGGTAACCTCCTGGGTAAAGTCTTTTGTCATGCTTCCTCTTTCAATTTTGAGGATTTAAAATTGAGGATTTCAAACTTACACTTGATTATGGCACATAATTGGATGAAAAAAGTAGACCTGACCAGGTTGTGATAAGCAGGAACATCTGAATTCAGCCTCCTGTTGTGAGGCAGAAACAGAGACTCCAGGAGGGACTGAGCAGTGCTCTGGGTTGGCTGCTCAGGGGGTCCAGGACTGTGCACATCTCCAGAGCAGCAGCACCACTGAGATGCAGTAACCTGCCCTGGAAATTGGGAGCTTGAATTCTCTGAGGCTGCTTAAGTCATGGCAAGTTTGCTGGCCAAGACTTCTGCTTGAACAGTGTCAGGCTTGGATTTTATCTTACTCTTCTGTCATCAGTTTCCTGTCATTTTGGAAGATCCTAAAATCTGGATTGGATTAAGTTTTAAAATCCTGCCCTCAGATTTGGGATTCCTAAAGCGCAGTAAAGGAGAGAGGCAACAGTTGCCTGATATAAGTAACATTTAATATTAAACATGTGCCATATGTCATTTTCCTCCCTGCATTATACTCCCTATATGAAAACATCTGACCTGCACTGTGTTTAGAAAAACACTCAAAAACTTGAGATAAAGATGTGATACAGATCACATCTTAGCACAGAACTTCTCCAAGAGCACATTTTTGGAGTGCCTGTACCGCGTGCTGGTACTGAACTGAGGTCTGTAGCACCCAGAGGTTGGGCTCTAGGGAGCAAAGCACAGCAAATGGCAATTTCCAGTATTACCTGGGATTTTTAACAGTGGGAGGAAGGTCTGAATTCTAAAACTGTTTATTTAATTCTGCTTAAAGTAAAAGCTTTGTTGGTCACAGATAACACAAATCCAATTAAGTATCTAAAATGAGGGCTATGGCTGCTGTTTTCAAGACTTCTTATTTGTACTTGTTTGGCATAACTTTAAAAGGAAGATTTAATGTATTAGTGAGTTGATGAGTAACAAGATTAAATGTAAGTTAAAATAAATATTCTGATGTTGGTTTGCTGTTTTTATATTTGAAGAGGGAACATTCTACCCACAAAGTGTCAGCCATCTTTTTATGAGGCTCACTGCCTGTTAGGTGTTGGTTCTTGTCACTGTTGCCTTTCAGTGCAACAAGTCTCTTTCTATACTTCATTTCATTACCTTAATAAACCTCATATGGATAAATACATTTTATCTGCTGTTTGACTTGTAACCATTGCATACTAATTTAATGTGCCAAGGTAAGGCTAATTCACTTTGAGAAAAGAGCTTAATTTGCACTCCTTATGTTGAATGTACATTATATGTAGTTTTCAGCTAAACAACCACTTTAGTGTTTAATAAATTAGTGCCCAATAAATGCATCATAAATCTATCATTGTAAATAGCTCTGCTCATGACAGTGTCCATCCACCAATTGTGCCACAAAAGCATTATCTGCAATGAAAGACACATTCAAAAGAGGCTCTATTGCCTCTGTCAGTAGTAGAAGGTAGAAATTCTATTATCAGTGTATTGATTCCAATCCTGTAATGTGCTTTTAGACCCCATTAAACTATTGTCAAAGTGCATTCACCAGAAGTTGAAAAAGGTACTTAATAATTTGCACATTAGACCTGCTAATTAGGGGAGCTATGCCATCAACCTTATCTTCCAACCCCAAATAGCTTTTGATAAAGATCTGTCTAATGCAGTGATACCAGCCTGCATTTCAGCTGTTGGGTCTCCTGCAGAAAATGGTGGCCAGTAGCAAAGTGTCAGAGGAGGTCAGCCTGTGGTTACAGGTCTGTATATTGATTTAGTTTTTCCTTTTATCTTGTAGATGAGATGACCATGAAAGGTTTGTAAGAATAAGGTTAGCAAATTCTCTTCTCAGATCTTTTCTTCTCAGACCTTCCTCCCTCTCCTTCTTTCAGTGAGGAAGGCGAGTTTTGTGGCTGTCCAGGGCAAGAGGGAGATGTAAATACTCATTCCTCTTCCTTCAGAAATGTTGGATGCTGTACTTCAGAAACTCTGCTTGAGAGTATCAGTCTCAAACACTGATACTTGAGATTATATGGATCACAAATTAGGTGTGATCAGCAGATTGCATAAATAAAGTGTGAAAGCACAAATCCATAGAGAAGCACTATGATATATATGGCAGCAGTTTCTATGAAATCCATCTCGTACAGAACTTGGTTTTGGGACACCTTGGGCTTTTTAAACAGGTGTGAATGCCATTGCTGTCACTGAAAATATGCAGACTCACTAAAGGGGAATTCTTTGCCTTTAAATTTCTTTGAGGGAAAATTTTGAAGCCTTAAAAGAGTTTTGAAACTTTCTGTCTTGACAACCTTTTTACTAGGATGTAGTGGCTTAGATGGATGATTTTAGAAGTTTTTCACAAGCAAAGTAATTAAGCTGAGGCTGAGCCTTCTCAGGCAGACTGATAACACTTACAGAAAATGCACTTAGGCATTCATATGCAATCTCTTACCTGGAACTCCTGCATGAACTTCTGGAAGGCAGATACAGGGAAAGGAAAAAAAAACTTGATTGACTTCTTTACAAAGTGGGGGAAAATTGTAGGGATGATGTGAACAAAAGTGATCAGAGCCCAAGAGAAAAGATAAAAGATTCTCAACTTGTAGGAGTTCTTGAATATCTATAAGAGCTGTATGAAATGGCACTGGAGGTTCTCTGATTATGTGAAGAGCTAACATGTCTTATGTCTTCATATGAGACTTTTCTGTTCCCTTCTGATATTTCCCCTTAATTTTGAAGATGCACTTTGTGAGTAGGGAATCAAATTTGTCTGAACAATCTGAATACTTACCTGAATTATATCTATAGTTTAATTGCCTTTAGTACATGCGATTTTGATTACAAACCAAGTTAAAATGCTTTTTGTTTGTTTGTTTGTTTAAACTTAGATCTGCAGAATAGAAAGATGACATAGGGCTGTAGTATCCTCGTGTGGCCGTCCCGGGTAACCTGGGTTATTGTCTTGCCCCATCTAGTGGCCAAGACTGGATGGCTAAAATAAAAATGAAGCTGATAAAATGTTTATAATCTTTAAAGTTGTGCTATGGCCTTTTTGAAAAGGAACTCTTTAACAATCATTCCTGACTTTTAGAATTAAGTGGGAATTCTACAATAGTTACTTCAATGCCATGAAAACACTGAGTGCATCTAACTTCAGTTTTATGCTTACTAAATGTTACTGTTTTCTGTTTTACATTCTTAGTCTTTTTGGCATAATATATTTGTTATTTGTGTTCTGTTATCCCTTTTGTTTTGGTCTTGGATGATACTTTGACACAACAGTGGTAAAATTAACTTCACACTGACAGACTCTGAAAATGGATAATTTGGTCTCTGGAAGACCCCAGGAAATGCACTTAACTGTACCTGGACTTGTGGCAATGCAGGGCTCTGGGGAGGAAGAGGAGCTACAGAAGTGTTGCTGGATCAGAAATCAATATTTGCTACTTAAAAATACAAAAATGAAAGGAATAATAGGATTTTAAAAAAATAACAACAAAACAACTTTGTCCTGTTTTCTAAAAATAGTGGTCAGAAAGAGTGCAACACCTTTTTTTCCCTTTGTTTTGAAGGAAGAACTTTATGGGGAGGGAATAGCTTTTTATAATAGAATGAATACAGCTTTCCTGACATCCCTACAGCACTGTGGAGCCAGTGCTATTACAATGCAGATGTAAATTAATCTGTGTCCTTAGTTCTGTTTCCTGGCCTGCAGGGAAGGTCAGACATTTTACTTCACCTGGTGCTGGGATGAATCTTAAAATACAGAAGCTTTCTAGAACACCCTGCCAGTAGTTCCCTTTGACTATTTTAGGAAGGAGGTTGGTTCAAGCATCTTTTAGTGTAAATACTGAGCTCACAGAAATTGTATGCACATGGAATGATATCTATTACTGTTTTGTTGGTGTCCATATTCCTTAAAGATGTTTGATGAGTTAAGTGATAAAAATATGCTGTAATGCACTTTTCTATGGCCTAATTCAGTGTGTCCATACCTCAGAGAGAGGGATTGTATTAAATGGTGTCAAAAACCTAAGGGATTCTGCAGTTCTGCAAAACAAGTAGAGAAGGTTTGGAAGTGGGCAGATAGTGAAGTATTAGGTAATATTGAGGTCACAACACTGATCTGTTCATATGGAACATCACTGGTTGCTCTGGTCTTGTAAAGTTAAAGAGGACAAGAATTTAAGAAGTGAAAAAAAGCTTTCTGGTTTTGTTAGGCTTTGTAAGAGGTATTTTTCATAGGAGGAAATTAAAAGAATTGTCTTTAGTTCCATGTAAAAGTCTCTGGGAAGATTAATGAAGTCACTGCCCTTAAGTAATACATCATGGATATATTTGAGGAGGAAGGAAAGATCTGATTAAGCTCTTCAACACTGGAATAAGGACAGTGGGTATGAAGGAGCTTTACCCATTGGATTTGAAATGAAAATTAGAATGTGTCTTGTCAATAATTGGATTAATCTGATTATTAACTTTCCAGCAACAGTAGTAGAATCACTACAGTGAATGAAACACAGCGAGCTCAGCAGTGCTGGGGCCCCATCTCATCAGCTATGTAATGGAACATGTCCCACACTTCTATTAATACTCCATGTGGACTTTACCAGTAAAAATACCATCACCCTCAGGCCAGCCAGTGGCCCCAGGCACTGGCCTGTACCCTCTGGAAACGGTCCCTGGCTGTGTCCCAGGCCAGGTGCTTTGATGGGTGGATCCCAGAGAGAGCCCTCCTGGCTCTACTGTCCCTGGTTCTTGTCAAAGAGAGCAAGATAATGTGTACAGGGTGTGAAATGGTGCCACTTACACTGGCACTTTCCTTTTGCTTAATTCTTGAAGGAGTAGGGTTTAAACATTATCAGTACCTGCACCCAGGCATGGTGGAGTATTTGTTACTGTAGGGACTAACAAAAGCCAGAAACTTGTAGCTGAAGGATTAAAGTGGGAAGTAAGACATATTTTTAACACCTATTGTAATTCAGGTTGTGGTAGCTTATCAAAAAAAGTGATAGATACACCATCACAGGATTGCACATCTCTAAAAATGTGCTCTAACTCATCTGTGGATTTATGGAGGTACATATGGGAATCTCTAGACAGAATCCTCTGGCTTGTGTTATCTGGGAGGTCAGAATTCACAGATCTTAATGGTTCCTTTTGCCTTAAAGAGCTATGAGTCAAGAAAAAATCTGAATGCTCAAAAGCACAGTGCATTTTTAATCATACCATTTTGCACATTTTGCTTAGGACAAGAACAGCTCACAGTATTCGGTGGCATGTTAGAAAAGATGCTATTCTTGTGTTCGATTCTCTGTACTCTAAAGATGTCATCATTACCACATATTGAAGTGCACTGTTGGTTTAAATGAAGAAATTGCTGACTCTAGAGTGTAGAAAAAAAGTAGAAAAAAACCAGCAGTGTTTGGAAGAGTTCAGAAGGTGATGGTATTTCAGCTTTTTACCTTTTTAAAATTCTTAAGTACTCTAATAATACCTTCCAATTGGGCTGGTGCTTAATGAAATTAACCTAATGTAGTAAAGAGTAGACTATATGAAGGCCTATAGTGTTGTAATAACAGCCATCTTTGAACCTGGTTTATATCTTAATGCAAGTACAGTATCTTTAGTTTTGGGGTTTTTCTTTAAAAATTCTCCCATACTGAGGTACCTGAAGGACAAAAGTTGAGCTTTCCAGTAGCAAAACACTTAGGCTTGATTTGTTTGGTTGTTTTTTTTACTTTCATTGAATGTACTGAGTATTTACATCAGTAGATTTCCCACAGGATGAATTGTGAATGCTGAGCATTCGGAAAATCAGGCTTGTGTCAGACTTGGAATTTTGACTCGGCGGACATTGCTTTTACCATAATGTGACCCTGCAGAATTCACCAGCAGCAGTTAGGGAAGAGCCCAGCCAGTCAAGCACAGCTTGCCTAATCCAGCTTTCTGATGATAAACCATGGGGCTGTGTGATGAGCTGCATTGACAGCTGGAGGTCTGGGTGCACAGAATGTGCTCTTACACATAACCAGAAAAAACACCTACCTTCGTAACTCGTCACAATCTTCTACCTTCCTTTGAGGTGACTATTCCTGAGCGTATTCTAGCCAACTTCAAACAGACATATCACTGACTAGAATGTTCTGCAGCCCCATTTGACAGTTAGAGCACAGAAGTGCAGTTTGCCAGGTGATGAGAATGGCTGTGTTTGTTTGTAGGTGGTTGAGCTGAAGCCGGGTGGAAAGGACATTCCCGTCACCAGTGCCAACCGGATCGCGTACATCCATCTGGTGGCAGACTACCGGCTGAACAAACAGATCCGCCACCACTGCCTGGCCTTCCGCCAGGGGCTGGCCAACGTGGTCAACCTCGAGTGGCTTCGGATGTTCGATCAGCAGGAAATACAGGTACTGCTGCTCAGAGCTGCACAAAGCAATTGCTCTAAACAGAAATTATTGCTGATTTCTGCCTGTAATGTAATGGTCTGATTTCCTTTACTGTTAGGTTCTGACTTCTGGTGCACAAGTTCCTATCAGTTTGGATGACCTTAAGTCTTTCACAAACTATTCAGGTAAGCATATTTTGGTTTTTTTTGTTTACTTAAGCATACTTTTGCTTAAGTAAAAAAATTTATTATGACTTGGGAATAACTATACTTTTTAGCCTACCTTTTAAGAAAAGGTTGCAGGGTCATTCTTGTTACCTTTGGCCAAATTCAGAAAATTGGCTAAAGTTACAACACAGTTTTATAAATGGTGGGAAATTCAAATACACAGTTTACTTTATTCACATGCTTAAAATCAAGTTTATAGCCAGATAATTTGAGGGTGTTTCTTTCCTGAATTGAAATTAGTCACTGACTGTGTCTGATTGATCTGAAAATAAGTCTGCAAATTAGTTTGGGATAGTAGCTTCTACTATATCATTTAGATACTTACCATTTTTCAGTCTGAAGAGAGAGATCATATATTTTCCTTGTGAGAAATGCAAGATATCTTACTTCATTTGTCCTCTGCCTTTATAATGAATGTAATCAAAAAGTAGCTACCAAATAATCAGTTCACATCTGGGCTTATCTCAGGGTAAGTGGATTCATTCCATAACATCCTGGGTCTTGCAGATTTTGCACATTCTGTGAGTGAAAGGCAATAATTTGAAGTTACTAGCTAAATGCTAAACTAAATTAAATTAATTTAAAATAGGCTTCAGTGAAGAAAACTGCATTTAAGAAGTTGAGGAATATAGTAGCCATAGGTAAGCAATGAAACTGAAATTGCAGTGATGACAGATCTGTAGGTACTGGAAGTTAGCAATACAAGCCTGTTGGCTATAATACTTGCCCCAAACTTTCAAGATTGATGCTAAGTTTTCTGTAGAATTTATTTCTTACATAAAACTATTCTAGCTGTAAATAATTTAAATATCTTTGCAGGTGGCTACACAGCAGACCATCCTGTAATTAAAATATTTTGGAGGGTTGTAGAAAGCTTCACTGATGAAGAGAAACGCAAACTCTTGAAATTTGTGACAAGCTGTTCTCGACCACCTCTTCTGGGATTTAAGGTATGTCCTCTGACTTCCTGGCAAACTTTTAGAAATGCTGCAGATGTTGGTCCAAGTTTTTCTTGTCTAGGAATCTGCAACTTGAGATTACTCGTCTGTGACTACAGAAACAGCTTCCATGTTTGCATTTGCATGTATAATAAGTACAGTTTTAAAATATGTAATGAAGTGTTCTGTTGTTTTCTGTTTTAACTGTGAAATTTGATAAGCCTGTAAATCACTGATTAGAGCACTTGCTGTGGGTGATGGAAGATCCTTGCTGCCATTGCATATGCAGAAGGAGAGTTGCTATCAGTTTCAAGCAACAGATTGAGTTAAACCTAGTGTCTTCTAAGTCAGGCAAAAGACAATTTAGGATATAAAAGCAGTTATTAAATTTGATCTTCTTAAATTAACCATTTGAAACAGGACATGTATTTTCTTTTCTTCTAATTACCATTTATTTGCTTGTAGGTCATAGCTCATTACCCTAAGCAGCAAAATATTTAGCTTCAGTCTCCAGATTGCTTTTTACAGGGGAGCTTAAGTATGAAAATTTGCTGTATTACTGATTACAAAACTAAAGAGGGGCCAAGGCAAGGTGAAGACATTTTGAAACTAAATTCTGGGGTTGTTCTACCCATGCATTCCAGTGGACTGCAAAATTTTGGCTAAGAACCAGCCTTCACATAATTTCCTCTAAAATGTGGGAACATTTAGTGCTGTGTCGTGGTGTTACCATGTGGATGGGCAACATCCTCCATCTTCAGTATCTGTAATCTATAGCTCAGCTGCACTCCTTTTATAGACATCTAGAATTGGAACTGGATTGCCAACTTTGAGTTGGTAATTGGTCTGACTGTTCCATGTGTCAGCTTCAGAATGAGTCATGTCTCAGACTCCCCAAAACATGCTAACTACATCCCCTTTAACAGTAAAAGTGTCCATAGGTATGGATATGGAGACAGTGGACATGGCTGTTGAATCACACTAGTCCTGTCTCGGGTATTTGTCTATTGATTTATTTGATTCTTTATTTAAAAGTCTGCTGGCCTTTCTCCTAAACCCCCCAAGTCCATGCAAGTATCACTGTACAGTACTGTAGCAATAAATAGGATTTTACAGGACAGCAGGAAGAGCAATTGGAAAACTCCAGGATGAGACCAAGATAGAACAGTGCATATCAATCACATTAGGAAAGAAGAATTTGGAAACAACTGGGAAACCAAGTAAGCAGAAGTTCCCATTTGTTGTCATCCTCTTTAATTACAAGGGGAGAGGAGAAAATGCAGATATAGGTACCAGCTTTGAGGTATCCGGTGTGACATTTGAAGAGATGGAGGAAGTGAATCAAAAGTCTAAAAATACTAAGGCTGACAGTGACACACTTGAAAGAAGCTAAATGGGGAAAGCTGCAGTTTGTATTTTCACTTGGGAGATGGGCCACAAACTGCCTGTAACAGACATGGTTAAGAAAAAATGGAAGCAAATTAGTCACCAGATTTTCAGCATGAAATCAGTAAGATAAAAGATGAATTCGCTGTGCAAGGGGCTTGCATGCTCAGCCACATACAGCAGTGTTGGCAGAGGAGAGCAGCTGAGAGGGCACAGGGATTTACCTCCCAACCAGGGGCTTGCCAGCAAGTGTCTGCCAGAGAAGGCAGTGGGTGACTGGTATTGTCATCAGCAGGAATGTCTTGGTAGCCCATGGCAGTGCATTGTTTGGAGCTTGGAAGGTGCAGGAGAGCTGTGTATTACCAGCCAAGTAAGCATGAGAACTTGTTTATGTTGATGAGAGACATGAACACAAACAGTCTGCAAAATGTGTTTGCACTTTCAGTGTGTGGGCTGTATTTTTCTGACAGAAACCAATTTTTGGTTCTCACTCTGAAGTTTTCTGTGTATGCATTATATTGTGGCATCAGCATGTTTTCTTTAAGTTAGTGCATGTTGATTTAAGATTAGGAAATATCTTGATGGTCATAGCTTACAGATAACATAGTCTAGCTTTGATAATTTAAAAATTTTTAGCTTTCATTGCCAGATTCAGGTTCAGAATAACATTTACGAAAGCTAATTAAAGTTTAATAAGTTTAATAAATGTGATTGTCACAGACAAAAAAAAAATCATTTAAGTGTGGTTGAAAATTGTTAAGTTCCAATCAGGTCACATAATAAATTGATGATACTTTTCCCTTCCAAACTATTGCCGTTTCCCGCTGTACAGTATTTAATTATGCAACAAATGGTGCCCTTGGCATGACATTTCAATTTAGAACTCCATTTTTCCATTTTTAAAGCTAGAGTTGGGGAATTCAATTAGCATTTTGAAAGGAACACTAAAAATGCACCATTTTAGCCATGAAATACTTTTAAGGCCTCCATTTGAACAATAATTTAGCTTAGAATCTCATTGACCTTTTGCCTTTGAAGCTGGAATTTTTTTCCAGTTTCTAAAATCAGAACTTTTTTACCTCAGGCAAGCTTTTGCTAAAATGAATACTGTCTTGCTAGCAAAAGCAGTGATTTGGACGTAAAAAATAAATCTATTTTTCGCTATACTACTTTTTGGAAGAAGATAAATGGGATATTATTAAAACAATTAATTACTATATACAAAATATCTTTAAAGTATGCTCTTCAGATCAGTAGTTAACACTTCAGAAGAATAATCAGGGTTTGACAAGTTTTTATCATTGCAGACTCACTATGCACATTGATATTATGTTTGTGCAGCATTGTACATTTGTACCATAGACTATATGAACAATAACGAGTCATTGTATTTTCCTTAGACTCACATAAATTGTTTTGTGTATTCCAAAGAGGGAGACACTACGTAATTCAAGAGTGGTATGAGGAATGACAGAAATGCCATTTGAGTGTCATTGTGACAGCTTTTCACCTAGTGATTTACTTTGTAGAGATGTGTGCCAGCTGCTGCAGGGTAAGTTTTGGCTTGTATACCTATTTTTGATATGTGGTTGTTTTTTGTCTTGGTTGCATCTTCAGGAGTTATATCCTGCATTTTGCATTCACAACGGAGGATCTGATTTAGACAGGCTGCCTACTGCCAGTACCTGCATGAACTTGCTGAAGCTTCCCGAGTTTTATGACGAGAACCTGATGCGAAGCAAGCTCCTCTATGCCATTGAATGTGCTGCTGGATTTGAACTCAGCTGAGTCCAACCCATGCTTATCCAGATGATCTGCAGAAGAACGAACCAGTGCCTACTCTATAAGCAGCACCCATACCCAAGCAGTTTTAAGGGAATTCTGTCTATGTTTCTGCAGCTCTTGTGTCTTACCAAATGCCCTCAAATAGGTTTCATTTCTAAACAGGATTTCTTAGTTAGCTTCCATTACTGAATATTGCGTTGACACTGCTTTATGACTCAAAACAATGAATGCTGTGTGCAGTGTGGCTGATTTCTGTGTTAATGTGAAGAAAGAGCACATTTAAAGAACAGTGACATCTCAGTGAAATTAACCAAAGATGAAGCTTTGGCTTTGTGCTGTTCAAACATAAATAATTTTGCAAACGGGCAATAAAGTTGTGTACTGTGCGGTGCATTGGGACAAGACAGGGCTAACATCCTGTAATTAATCTTTTAAAAGGAAGGCAAGCAGATGTTTGCAGATATCCCAGAACTGAGAGGATGAAAATGCTCATTTCTGGCAACCTGACAACTTACATTGTAGAGTTGTTTACAAATCATAGAGAGATGGGCAATCCCCAACCATATGAAATTTAACCAGGGCAATTGCTGGGTTCTGCACTTGAGACAGGGCAGCCCTGGCTGTGGGATAGACTGGGGAATGAGAGGCTGGAGAGCAGCTGTGGAAAGGGACCTGGGGGTCCTGGTTGATGGCAAGTTGAACACCAGCCAGCAGCACTCTGGCAGCCAGGAGGGCCAGCCCTGTCCTGGGGACATCAGGCCCAGCATGGCCAGCTGGGCAAGGCAGGGGATTGTCCCCTCTGCTGTGCACTGAGGCAGCCTCACCTCGAGTGCTGGGGCAGATTTTGGTGCCACAATATAAAGAAGACTTTGAGCCATTAGAGAGCATCCAGAGGAGGCTGTAAGAGTGGTGAAGGGCTTGGTAAAGAGATATTGTTAATGACAATAAAGTGCAAAAAGTAAAAAAGGCCTGGAGGAGACTGAAGGGAGACCTCACTGCAGTAACAGCTCCTCGTGAGGGGAAGAGGAGAGGCAGGCACTGATCTCTGCTCTGTGGTGGCAGTGATGAGACCTGAGGAAACAGCATGGAACTGGATTTGGGGAAGATTCAGGTTGGGTATCATGAAATGGTTTCCTCACCCAGAGGGTGGTTGGGCACTGAACAGGCTCCCCAGGGCAGTGGTCGCAGCCCCAAGTCTGCCACAGTTCAAGAAGTGTTGGAACAATGCTCTCAGACACTTGTTGTGACTCTTGGGGTGTCCTGTGCAGGACCAGGAGTTGGACTGGATGATCCTGATCAACCCCTTCCAACTCAGCATAGTCCATGATTCTAGGATAGTTGTTGCAGAACTGATTTTGTTTCATATTGCCTTCCCTCGAGATGATAGACACTGAGATAAAATGGGTGTAATATTCCATTTGTGCTTTCTGAAACACTTGGAAGAAAACAGATTTGCATTATTTTAAGTTCAACCTTTGCTGCATCATTATCACTTGGACACTGTTCTGAATGGATGTGACTTTCCAGGTTTTCTCTGTCCTGTTTCTGTCTTTTGTGCCTGTACAGGTTTGTTGATTGGTTGGTTGGTTTTAAATGAATCAGTCTCCTATTGCATACAGTACATATAGAAGTCACCACTTTGGAAAAATATACATGTAATAATTATTAAAGTTATTTGAACCAAAGTTATCAGGCTTTATCTTTTATATTTGAAGCCTGTGGTGTTCACATTCCTTTTCCCTATTATTTCTCCCCATCTTAAATACCGTATGTGTGCCGTAGACACTAAACAAATTAACTTTTTTTTTGTGATTAAACAGCTTTTATATCCATTTCCCTGCAGTATTTCTGCCGAGAAAAGTAAGTGGGAATATGCTGCTTAATATAATTTGATATCTGGGTAAAAAATTGCTCTCATATGGAAGGAGCTTATCCTCCAATAGTAGGCACATCGTAGGGTTTCGTATGCAAACTCCAGTGAGTTTAGAAAAGGAATTATAGTTCAGACTGTAAGATTGATCAGTCCATCCCTCTGAACTTCACTTTTATATTTTAAATAATCCAAAATTACAATCAAATTTGTATTCATCTCTTATGCAAAAAAATATTTTGCTGTTACTGGAAACTCTGCTGGATTTCCTATTTAATAAGCAGTAACCAGCAATATCCTTTTAAATGTGGGGAAACTGAGTGGTTTTAAGATGTTTACTAGTAACCATATAAAAATGTATAATTTCTTAATTTGGGTAATAAATGAAGTGTTAAAATACTATTTGTAGTCTTGATGTACAGAAATAAAATGATTGGTTTTCTTTTTGGTTTTGCTTTAGGCTTTTTATTTATGTTAAATGTTACATGCTCAACCTATTCTTTATCCCAAATTCTTTTCTTGTATATTTTTCTACATAAATTATGAAACTTGTAAAGAAGTTGAAGAGATCAGTAATAGTGAAACTGCCTCCTCCTAATTGCAAAACCTGAACACTTCTTTTAGATAGCATTATTTATTTTAGAACCTAATGCTTTAAATATTTTGAAATTATTTTTCAATTCCATTATTTTGCTACATTGAGTAGTGTTGTATCTGTATTTTGTAAAATTAAATTAAATTTTTCTATTAAATATTTGTATTTTGAAGATTGTGTTGGAGTCATGCCAAGTACTGGTGACTGGTACTGTCCACTTTGTGCTTTTGAAAAGGAGCCAGTGCCCACTATTGCTGTCTGTGGCCAGGAGAGCAGAGGGTGCCACAGGGAGGGTAGGCTGGGGGCAGTGTGACTTGCACAGAGATGTGATTGCAGCAATGACAGAGCTGCAGGAACCTTCAGGAGAGAACGTGAGTTTGCTGGCAGTGCTCTGATGTTTCATTTCTTCGTTCTGCAGCGCTCGGTGGTGTTTGTGTATCCTGTCCATGGAGTGTGACACTGGCACAGGCAGGGCACAGAGCCCTTGTGTTTCACTGCACAGGCTGCAGGTCTGTGCAGCTTCCCCACCTTCAGAATCCTGCAGTGAGAGGAGAGTGGGGCTTGCCTTTGGCAACCAGTGCTTCCAGCTCTGCCAGCTGTTTTCAGGTTGGCAGGATGAAGCACGAATTCCTGCTTTTCAATGACCTATTGCTGGATATTTTAAGGAACAGGAGATAAAGGTGTGAGAAGTAACAGTAATGTCCTGAGGAGCAGGGGGGTCAAATGATCTCTTGTACCACTTATGTAGCAAGAATTGTTTCTATATGAAACTGGATTTTCTGGATTTTAAAGGAAGTGTAAACTGTTCCCCGGTGGTGATGCTCCCAGGGCTGAGGTAGGCAGAGGCAGGAGCACTCTGCATACAAGCAATCCGAAATTTTATTGTAAATTTGATCATCAGAATTATAGCAGTAATAATTATGAGTTTGGGGTTGGTTTCTGTACAAGATAACCCTTCCATAAAGTAAGTTTCTGTACTACGGTGTTTCTTCCTCCTAGTTCATTACTTGCTTTTTGAAAAAGCAAGCATTTTCTGATTGGTTTTTGTTTTCAAGTAGGTTTGGGTTTGTAATTTTGTAACCTGTTCTACAAACATTTTTGTCAAGGTCTGTATGATGGAAGAGTTCACGAATTTTTCATCTCTACAAAGTTCAAAGGTGTTAAAAGTGGAATAAAGACATAAAATTAGCACTTGGTCTCTTTATTTCAATGACAGTTTTTCCAGATGGGAGTTCAGTCCTATTAGGTGGATTTAAAAAAAAAAAAAAAAAGCACTGCAAACCAAACCAGGAGTAATTGGCCTTGTCTTTAATCTCTGTTGTCTTCCATCATGGTCCTGAAAGCCAGACTTGTATAAACGTTACAAAACTGATTTCTAGGGAACATTTATATATCTTCAAAAGAGCAAAGATTTTCTTCCAGTTCCCTGTGTAAACACTGAGCTGACAGAAGTTGGATTTGAATGATGAGGATATCTTCAGGTATTTTTTAGGGAGCTGCTCCATAAAAATAATAAAACCTGAACTTCCTGATTCTGTTAGTAGCAATGTTGATTTTTTTTTTTTTCTGCATCTCTTGAGTAATATAGCATGAACATCCTCATTTAATCCTATAAAGGGGTTTAGAATTCAGAGAAAACACTTTGAATGCAGTGAGTTCATACATTTCAGTTTCTACCAAAAACTTAGTTAAATACCAGTGAGACAGCACATATTCACCACGGAAAAACACAATAGCACAGAAAAAAAACAAAAGGAATGTTTGTTGGACCTGTAATATTTGCTCATATACACGGATCTGTGTTAATAATGGTTTGTGATGTAAATGCTTGTTACTTTTTTTTCATGATGCTTTTGCCTGTCAGTGAAGGAGAGAAGAACATGGTCTGTAAAATTGATCAGGATATCTATATTTTTATTGACTTCTGCTTTTGTGAATAAAATAATTTGAGTTTTATTGAAACTCTGCAGAAACACTCTTTCATTTTTGCAGTAAATTGGGCATTCTCTTGTTAAAAACCGATGGTACTAATTAGGTTCTAAAAGAATGTAATATTAACTGCTTGTTGGTCTTGAAGGTAGTACTGTTGGAACTGGCCACCCGAGGCAGTGCTGGAGTCACCATTCATGGAGGAATTTCAAATTCCTGTTGATGTGCCACTGAGGGACTTGGTTCAGTGGTGGGATTGGCAGTGCTGGGTTAATGGCTGGGCTCAGACATTGCTGTTTTCCAACCTAAACATTCCTGTGGTTCTGCTGCTTTGGGATGGTTCCTGCCCTTCAGCTTTCGAGCTGTGGTTTCCCACTCTGGCAAGGATGCTGCAGCTCTGAGGTTTACCTTTGTTTTCAGGGTGTCTTTCAAACAATGCACTTGCTCTGATTTGTAAAACCTTGTTCAGAATCTTTGGAAAGAATAAAACTCCATGGATAGAAGTCTGAGAAGCTGTAATTGATAGTGAAGAATGCTACTCTTCAGCAAACACAAAAATTTCTGTCAGCAAACACAAAAATGTCTCTTTCAACTGTTTCTGGAATTCTAGCACATGTGGGCTCCTTTGAACGTGCAATTTAGTTTTATCTCCTTTGATAATTAGACTTATCTGCTTCCCTTTGCTTATTTATTATTTTGTTTGCTAAATACACTTTTAGTTCTACTTTAATATTTATAAAGTTAGTATGGTGCATATTTATTTTGAATGTTTAGAAATAGCAGCATATATGCTTCAGCTTACCTGCTACTAAAAATGTGGTAGACATAAAACTACAGGAAACTCCTCTTGTAGGGCATCTCCTAATTTGCAACATTAATAAAAAGACAAATGCCCATGTATCTGACCTGTTTTTCAGTATGTATCTGGTACTCTGGAAAGGGCATTAAATTTCTCATGTGTGTAGAGATACAAAACAAGGCAAGAAGTGATCATGAAGTTACACGAGTTGAATCCATTAGAGAGAACAGAATAGCTGAAGTCAGGAGGAATGTGTGGAGATCACCTCTTCCAACCCCCAGCTCAAAGCAGGGTCACCTACAGCAGGTTGCAAGACCTTCACCTGTGGAGTTCTGAATGTCTTCTTGGATGGAGAATCCACAATTTCTCTGGGCAATCTGTTTTCAGTGTTCAATTAACTTCACAATAAAACCTTTTAAATCAGGTTTAAACACATTTCTTGTATTCCAATTTGTGCCCCTTGCCTCTTGTCCTGTGGGGCAGTACTATGGAATCTGAGCCTTTTCCAGGCTGAACAGCATCAGCTCTCTCAGCCTCTCCTCATATGACACAGCCTCCAAAACCTCAATCATCTTGCTCTGCCTTGTTAGTGACCCCAGCAGCATCTTCAAAATACCTTTTGTGGAGTTTGATGTGACTGGGGACTGAGTTAAGTGACAGTCTCTTCCTTACCAGATTCCTGTGGTGGTTAATCAGTGGCACTTACCAGGTAAGGTTGGATTTAAGATTTTGTGGCTTTGCTTTTTCAACTTCCAGTTCTGCTTTGACTTTTCAAGGATTTTGCAATACTCTTATCAATGTAAAATAGCAGTCTTTGTAAAAACTGAGCTCTGAGTTACTTTCACAAATTTTTACAGATAGGATGCTAAATATTGATATAAAAACCATAGGATTAACGTTAAATCACCTAAATGTATATTTGCTTCTGCCACCAACAGTATCAAACACCCAAGTGCAACCTCTTGTGCAAACTCCTGTATTTTGACTGTCTTCTGAAGGTTGAGTAGCCCAAAATTCGGCAAATCACATCAGACTGTCAAACAGGAGAAACATAGGCATTCTGACTGGCAAAAAATGGGACATAAAGGCAGGCACAGATGTCCTGCAGCTTGATTTCACACTGTCAAGGGATGAGCTCTCCTTGTGTGATGGTTAAATCGTTGCTACATTTATTGCTAGAATAGTTGCTCTCCAGTCTGGGCCTAAGCTTCCCTGTCCACAGCTCTGCAGAATCATAAATTCTGTGTGCAAAGTTGGTTCATGTATTTATAGGAGCAGCATGCTCAAATTTCCTACTATATTTAACATCATTCTTTTCTGCATTCCCAGAGCAGCTGTTTGTTCATTCTGTGTAACATTTAACTGAAAAGTAGTTTTGCATTATTTCTATTTTATTCCTTGTTTATAGTTACACATAGTTCTTGATTGCTGAAGAAAGAAACAGGCATTCACCAGATGGTGTTATTTCAGATCCTCCTGCTACTGCTGCTTGCCCAAATGTTAGACCTGGGAAAAGCATCTCTCCTCAGTTGCTATGTAGTTTTGCTGTATGTTGTCAAACAAACCTTCTGAAGGAATTGTTTCTTTTAGACCTTGTATCTTTACTTAAGAATTATTTTCTTTACAGCTCTGTTTTTCTTTTTTCCCCTCTTCACTTTTCAGGTAAAAAGCAGCAGAGCTCAAAGTTCTGCAGAGATACTTTAGGTGTAATTATCTGATAGATAAATCTGGCTATTGATGAAAAATTACATGGAATTAACTAATATTTCACATTGTCACATGGACAAAAAAGCATATCCCTGATCAAGTTAATGAACATAAATGCTGATCAAGCTGCCCTTGCAAAGAATAAGCATTTGGCATAAGCTGTGAGATTGTCTGATTGCCCCCAACAGTTCCTGGGTTGTTGTGTGCAGACCTCAAATAGTCAGCAAAATACATCTGATATTTCAGGAGGAAATGGCAAAAACATCAACTATGCTGAAGTGGTTTAACTACTTTCAAAAGCATTCTCTTAGCTCAGCTTTTTGCACACAAAGAGGAGTCCAGATAAACTTGCAGCCTCTAGACTACCTAAGACACACTGTACAGATGAAAACTGAGGTTGTGCTCAGCAGGAAAACACTGGAGGATGCAAGAGAAATTGGGTTATTTTGTGCTTTTAATGCTTCTACTGAAAGTTTTAAACTCTAGGTGTATTGCACATATTTCAAGTCTAATTGTTTCTGATAAACTATCAGGAAAAAGTTAATGCTTACATTTAATTAAGTGGCACTTTCCAGAATTACTTTGCCAGCAGTACTATAATTAGATGATATGAGAACAGTCTTTGATACATATGCTCATATTCTTTGTTAACACCAAAAATAGAATCTGTAAATCTGTAAATAGAAAAACTGGATGCATTACACAGCAGGGCAGAGCAGCAGGCTGGGAAGGCTACAGCCATTACCACCTTAGGAGGATTAACATTAATGTCTCTCTAATGCAGCATTTTTAAACATTTCTTGTGTTCTGATGGGCTTTATATAATTGACCTCCATAAATCATAAAAGATGGTTTAAAAAAAGAATCTGGGAACTCTGTGAATTGCCAATACCTCCTGGAACGCTGCCACGTGATTTCCATCATTAGGTTATAGCTGCCAGTTAGGGCTGAATTCATCTCACTTGGCTTCAGGCATCTGTGAGGTGGCACTTGGGGAGAAAAGGCAGCCCTGGGACAGAGCTCTGGTGGGTGGTTCCTTTCCTAAAACACATCTCCAAAGAGGGTGGAAGGAACTGAGCCCTGGAGGTGCCCTCTCCTCCTCTCTCTTCACAGTCAATGGCCTCAGACTGGATGTTTGAGACAGCTGAAGTTGGGTGAGGTGACCAGACCTTTCTCTCATGTTCCCAGAGATGAGTTGAAAGTTCTTAAACAATTAAGTTTCTTTGATAGCAGCTTTACTGTGACTCAATGACTCAGCACTTGGATATCAGCCTGGATCTCTGATACCAGCTTTAACAGGCCCACAGACCCTCTTTTGTTATTGGAATGTTGATGCTCTGCCAGCAACATCAGATTTAATGTCCCTTAAGGCAGTACTCCAGGCTTCTGCTGCAAGCAGCAAGCCATAAAAACACAGGACACTTTGACTTCATACTTTTGCAAATACCTTTGAAGGTGTTCTGAATCAAAAAGCTTTTCAGTTTTATTAGTCCTATAAATAGACCTAATTAAAAATGTTAATGAGCCAGTTATGCAATCCTTTTGGATTTCAGTAAAACATTCAGTACTGTCTCTCCCAGATCCTTGTGGACAAAATGTCCAGCACACAGCTGGATAAACACATCATGGGATGGGTGAGCTTTGGCTCACGGGTCAGCACCAAGGGCTGCAGTGGATGGGGTGACAGCAGGCTGGTGTCCTGTCCCCACGGGGGTTCCACAGGGCCCAGCCTCAGCCCTGTGCTCTTCAACATCCCCATCAACGACTTGGGTGGGATACTAAGTTTGCCAAGGACACTAAACTGGGAGGGGCTGCTGACTCCCTTGAGGGAAGGGAGGCCCTGCAGAGACCCAGACAAATCAGAGGGCTGGGCAATCACCAACCATTTGAAGTTCAACCAGGGCAATCCTGGGTGTGTGTGCTTCAGTAGCCCCTGCAGTACCTCTTCTGGTGGGCTTTGCCACGTGCTATTTTAATTGAAATCACCTGCCTTTCCCTGTAACAGAGAACAGAAAATTAAATATCGTGTGCCAATTTGAGCAAATGTTTAAAAAGTAAATAATTCTTGTTATTGTTCAGGAGATAATCTGATCTATCAATGACCATAAGTTAAAAAAAAAAGAGATCCCCTAATAAATTATATTTGTAATTGGTGGCTCCGTAAACTGCCCCTTCTGAGAAGTCTTGGGAAATGTCTTCATATCTTCTTCAAAGACAAGCATAAACCAATTAATTTTTTTTTTATTTAAAAAAATAATTATTTTGTTTTCACCTATGTTAGGAAACATTTATTAACATTCTCAGCGTTTTGCTGTAGAAAATGCTAAACTACGCTGCCCTCAGCTATGAGCAGGCACTTTACCTTCTCATACCTTCCTTTCTCCAAATGCAAAATTGGTTTCTAAGCCTTCCCAAATGTTATTCCTGTATCTGAAGGATGCTAAAGCAGGGCTATGCTGTTTAGAGTCAGAACAGTGTTAGAAAATCGCTGGGCAGATTAATGTACTGATAACAATTGTGTTAAAGAAGCCATGGTCCTGGTTGCATTGATGCAGTGTTTTGATTCCAGCCCTCTAGTTCCATATGGAATCATGCTTCTTTGCCATGTTCTGCTTGCTTGGCTAAAGAGAAAGTTTTATGGTTGGCATCCATCATACTTTAACTGTAAATATAAAATCTGCTCTGCTCTTTAAATTATTAAAGCAAAGAAACTTCCTCATGTGACTTCTGTCTTGTTTACTACAGCTCAGGTTTTAGGACTCTTCACTTTTTTTCTCCCCTGTAATTGGTAATGAAAGGCTGGAGAAAAACCATTATTTCAAGAACAAGAAGTGTTTAAAGGATTAAATCAAAATCTTGTATGGTCTCCTCCCTCACCTCACAATACTGACCTGCCTTTGCATTTGCCAGGCTGTGAATCCTCTGAGGTCTGAACCTCACCCATTAGGAAGAGCCAGTCTAACCCACTAATCCTCTGGGCTTTTTCTTTCCAAGTGGACCAACAACTTGGACTTTACAGCTACTTGATGATGAGAAACTAATAATGGAGTGAGGTGTCTCTCCGCTCTAAATTTGAAGAATTGTTTCCACGACCACAACATAGCATCAACAATCAACAATATTTCTTTTGAAGCTTGCATTTCCCCAAAGCACCAAGCCTGCACTTAGGGTTGTCCTACTACTTGTCCTGCTGATTTGTTTTAGGTTTTCCTCTGCCTTATTGCAAGCTGGCTTTTGTCTTTTTGAACTGACCCCACTCCCACACAAACACTTCCTAAATAATGAGTAGCCTTTTCATTGAATTTATTTTGGAAGTATACATTTTAGGCGTGGAAACTCTCTAACTTCATTTTGGTGATCTATAAATGAATGCCTCCACTTTTTAAATAAGGGGCAAGAAATATACTTTTACAGCAATTTAGAGCATGGATGAAGTCTATATTTTAGAAGTAGAAAAATAACTTTGCTGCCTTATGCTTTGCTCTCAACCATGGCACTCAGAAAACTTGAATATAACACAAAGGATGCTCCAATATATTCAGCCAGTGCAGGGTGCTACATGCATGGAGAGGAATCTGACCTTAAAGGAATTGTGTGCCAGAGTTACAACTTTTGAGACTACAACTTAAACACACAAAAGGGAAACATTTTTGATATCTCACCTTGAGCACCCAAACTCACCTATTCAAAGAATGTTTGTTAAAATTGTTGTTTTTTCACCTTTTCCTACAGCACCACACCCAGGCATCACTTTGCATTTCCCCTCACAGAATCCCAGAATGGGTCAGGCTGAAAGGGTCCATCTGGTTAAGCAGGGTCATCCCAGAGCACACGGCACAGGATTGTGTTTAGATGGTTCTGGAATACCCAGTGAGGGAGACTCCACAGCTGCTCTGGGCAGTCTGTTCCAGTGCACGGTCACCTGCACAGTAAAGAAGTTCTTCTTCACATTCAGGTGGAAATTCTGCACATCAGTTTCTGCCCATTGCCTCATCTCCTGTTGCTGGAGCAGCGCCTCGTCCATGCTCTTGCCACCCCCAGTTTTGGAGAGTAAAGACACAAAAGGGGAAGAATTTTTGCCATCTCACGTCTCAGCTATTCAAAGAAGGTTTCTTAACCTTATTCTTTTTCTTTTTTGCCTTTCCCCTTGGCTGCACACCCGGGCATTGTTTCGCTGCCCTCAGGAAGCCCCGCCCACCCCTCAGGAAGCCCCGCCCACCACACCAGAAGCCACGCCCACCACCGAAGCCCCGCCCCGTCCCGTTGCAGCGCCGCGGGCCGCCGGCAGGGGGCGCACTCCGCTCGCACGGGACTCCCGGCGGGGCCGTTCCAGAAACTTCCGGAAGCGGCGGGGCGGAAGCGGCGGCGCGCGCTGGCGGCACTTCCTGTTTGCGGCCGCTGCTGTCGGTGCCGGCGGGAGCGGCGGGCGGGGAGCGGCGGCCGCGCTGCGGAGCCACCGGCGGGTGAGCGCGGAGATCGGGCCGGGGCTGCCCGGCCGCGGCCGTGCGGCGGGCAGAGGGCGGCGGGGAGCGGCCGCTTGGCCGGGCCGCGGTGCCGGGCAGCGGCGTGCCCGGTAGCGGGGCCTGCTCGCGGCGGTGGTGCCGCGGTGGCTCTGCCCGGCCTTGGCGGGGCTCGGGGGTCGCAGGGAGCTCGGGGAGGCAGCGGCTGGCCAGGGCTGCCCCCGGCGCTCGGAGCGGGACAAACCCCGGGACGTTCGGTGCCAGCCCGCACTGCCGCAAGGCAGAAAAAAAATGCCGGATTTCCATTCCTTGCTCACAGGGGTGTCAATTCCCAGGGAATGAGGGCGAGCCTCGGTTCGTTAAACACACCTTGTCCTTAAAGCGCTTTTTGTCGCAGGGTGCTGCCTGGGCGGCTTGCGAGCGTTGTTGTGGCCTCCTTTTTTCTACCAGTCCCTGAAAGGAGATGGCGATGAGCTGCGGGCCGTGCCTGCAGACGGAGAGAGGATCAGAAGAAATGGCCTTAACAGATTAGATAGTGTAAAAAATATTTCACATTCAGCGTGGCCAGCCATTGGAATAGGTTGCCTAGGTGGTGGTGGTAGAGTCAGCATCCTTGGAGGTGTTCGGGAGCGCCTGGATGTGGCGCGGGGTGGGTTTGTGGTTAAGGGAGGCAGTGGCGGTGTTGGGGGGTGTTTGCCCTGGATGAGCTCAGTGGCGGTGTTGGGGGGTGTTTGCCCTGGGTGATCTCAGTGGCGGTGTTGGGGGGTGTTTGCCCTGGATGATCTCAGTGGCGGTGTTGGGGGGTGTTTGCCCTGGATGATCTCAGTGGCGGTGTTGGGGGGTGTTTGCCCTGGATGATCTCAGTGGCGGTGTTGGGGGGTGTTTGCCCTGGGTGATCTCAGTGGCGGTGTTGGGGGGTGTTTGCCCTGGATGATCTCAGTGGCGGTGTTGGGGGGTGTTTGCCCTGGGTGATCTCAGTGGCGGTGTTGGGGGGTGTTTGCCCTGGATGATCTCAGTGGCGGTGTTGGGGGGTGTTTGCCCCGGGTGATCTCAGTGGCGGTGTTGGGGGGTGTTTGCCCTGGATGATCTCAGTGGCGGTGTTGGGGGGTGTTTGCCCTGGGTGATCTCAGTGGCGGTGTTGGGGGTGTTTGCCCTGGGTGATCTCAGTGGCGGTGTTGGGGGGTGTTTGCCCTGGGTGATCTCAGAGGCGTTTTCCCCCCCTGGTGACCGTAGGCCAAACGAGCTGTGATTCTCCCCCGATGGAAGCAGTTCGGTTTTGTTCCGCTCAGTGTTGATTACTCGGGAGGTTTGTTGTTGGTGAGGTCGGCAGAGGTCGGGTGTTCTGAGCTCGCTGTTGCCAGGTTCCGAGCCGAGGTGAAAACTGATACTGCCAGGTAAGGAACACTGTTTGTGGTCAGTATTTGTTACACTTGAGGGGGGACAGCAGGCTGGGTTTGGGACTCGCGTTCCTGTTTGCACCAACACTTTGTGTTGTGTTCCTGTCTGAGCTCTCCTTGGCTGCTGAAAACGTGCTACAGCCGTGCTAACAAAGGTGTTAGAAATAATTCAAAATACTGAACAAATCTGTTCTAAATTGTGGGTATTATAAACTGCTACTTGTTTAGACACAGTAACATGAAATCTGCGTTTATAACATGCAAATGGTTAGGCTTGTGTCATTGCATAGTCAGTGATCAAACCCAAGAGTTTTTAAGAGTATAAAGTGTCAAAAAGTGATAAGAACAAGGAGCTGACACAAGGGAACAACTGGGATGAAGCAAGGCTCTGCCTCTCTGGTCTTGCAGCAGAGATTGCAGTCACTGCTGTCTGCTGACCTTAATTTTTGTTTACTCTTTGGAGATCCTTGTACTCCAGTTAGGGATTTTATGTTCAGCTGGTGATCAAGAGCCTAATAGTGAAAATACCATTTAGTTTGATGGATTATGTTGTCAAAGAAGATTTGTTTGGACCAATGAGTAAGTGTATTTACAGATCTTGTCTGTGTGATTACTTTTTTTATTGCAAACAACCAGAATTTTAACTATTGCAGAACACTGGTCTAACTTTGTGTACTCCCCTTGGCTCCTGTGCTGACTTCTCAGTGGAGAATGTGTTGAAAATAGAAGTTAAATTAGTATTACATTTTCGTAAATAATCTCTATTGGAGTAGAAATTTAAATTGCTGCTTTTATTGGCAGCACTGTTTAGACTGCAGTGCTACTAATAATGTAAACTAAATCTGTAAACTGCAGAGTTCCCCTTGTTCTCCATCAGGCTTGTCTTCTTAGTACTACAGCAGATTCTTATCCAGACAGCTTCTCTCTCTGGTTATTTTCTCTGTCCTTCCCAGATCGATGCAGTTCGTTAATTTATCTTGGCAGAGTTTGGGAAGAAGGCATGCAGGGCTTTTGAGTAAGACTGAAGTTTTAGTTAGAGGCTAATGTGTTTTGGTACCGATTTTTTAAAAATAGATAAATAGATTTCTTTACAAACTGTATTCTTTTATCCATTAGAAGTTTTGGAATGTATGCGAGGAGAGGGAATAACTCATGTTAAATCATTATCATTTTATGTAGGATATAGGCGTTCCTAACAGCACACGAGAAACAAACACCAGGTTTTTGGTCTGCTGTGCGTCTGTGCCGGGCTCGTTGGCGCAGAGAGGTCTGCGAGCGGAGCGTGCGCGGGACGAGCGCGGCGGTTGCGCCGGGCCCGCTCTGACTGAGGTGCGGCACGGGCGGAAATGTCCGCGGAGGGCACGGCCCGGCCTGCCCGGCCCCGTGAGCCCGCGGAGGGCACGGCCCGCCCTGCACAGCCCGCGGAGGGCACAGCTCACCCTGCACGGCCCCCCGAGCCCGCGGAGGGCACGGCCCGCCCTGCACAGCTCCGTGAGCCCGCGGAGGGCACGGCCCGCCCCGCACAGCCCCGTGAGCCCGCGGAGGGCACGGCCCGCCCTGCCCGGCCCCGTGAGCCCGCGGAGGGCACGGCCCGCCCTGCACAGCTCCGTGAGCCCGCGGAGGGCACGGCCCGCCCCGCACAGCCCCGTGAGCCCGCGGAGGGCACGGCCCGCCCTGCACGGCCCTGTGAGCCCGCGGAGGGCACGGCCCGCCCTGCACGGCCCCCGTGAGCCCGCGGAGGGCACGGCCCGCCCTGCACAGCCCTGTGAGCCCGCGGAGGGCACGGCCCGCCCTGCCCGGCCCTGTGAGCCCGCGGAGGGCACGGCCCGCCCTGCACGGCCCCGTGAGCCCGCGGAGTGCACGGCCCGCCCTGCACAGCCCCGTGAGCCCGCGGAGGGCACGGCCCGCCCTGCACGGCCCCCGCGCTGCACCCAGACTTCCCGGAGCACATCCACCGCTTCTGAAGCGTGCAGCCATGCTCTGAAGTGAATTCGTTGTGTGAGGTTTATGTTTTAGCGTTGTGCTTCTTAAGTAGGAAGTGCTCCATTTTTCTAATAGCATTTTGTAAAGAACCTCCTCAGTTGTGTCCTGGAAACATTTCCTGACAAAGCTTTTCCCTTGTCTTATTCAAGCAATGGAAAGAGTAGTGAGAAATTACTTAGCTTTGCCAAAACTTGTTGGATCTTGCATATGATGCTTGTTTCTTTTAGGATAGATTTAAAATAAAACTGTAGTTGAGGGTATTAGTAGTTCAAATTATATTTTCTTCTGAATGAAATACATTTGAATGGATGTTAGATTTTCTTTACTTTAGACGTAATGAAATAATTCTGCTTTATTTATTTAACTGCTAGGGAAGAAATAATTCATGCATATACATTACACTCCTATAGTTACTAGTTGTAGGTTTTATGTTTTCTATTTGTTCTGAATACTGAAATCCCACTGGTGTTAGTGAGGACTCAGTACTTAAGGATCTTAAAGGCCATATAGTAAGTCTGAAGCCATTCATAGCTACATTGTAGCCAGGTTTTATTAACACATTAAGTTTTCTGATCAGAATTGTTTTTTCTATCTTAAAATGTAGTCTGAATTGGTGATAGTCTGTCAACACTCTGATAAAGAACTTACTCTTTGCTTTAATGGAGCTTTTTTTTCTTTTTGTTTGGCTTGAATAAAGTTATTATGACTCAAAAACAGTTCAGGGGAAATGTGTAGCAACTTTGAACTATTTTCCCTAACTGTTTTCTTTTCCCTAAAGGATCGTCTGATTGCATGTGATTTGCCTAAAACTTTCTGGGCCATGTCTTTCAGTTGAGGCTTTCACTATTTTTAATTGCTTAATCATATGCAGATCATATATTTTTGGAAATAAAACATGACTTTTACTTCATATAAAATAACCTTTTATGGTTAGTTTTAGGAAAGTGACAGTGTTCCAGATA